AATTACAACTGTTCATAATCATATATCAATTATAACTACACAACTTCAAAACTTGAATTTTATTGTGCTTTTCCTCCTTTCTTATTTGTCATAAGGGCAAGAGAACTTTTCAGATATCTGAGACAGGTGTTGAGTTATTTCTGTTGCACGTATTTTCAGTTGGTTCGATAGATAAAGCTTCACTTATCAATCTCTCCCTCCACCCTGTTACGTTAGATTTTGAAAATGTCAGCTCATTTTATCCTATTGTGTGGTTGTGCTTAATTGGTTTTAGTGTTATAACTGAACTATTCTCCAGATTTCTTATCACAATAAGGTCAAGCAATTTAGATTTTACCAGAATTTCGTGCTCCGCTAGTCTGACTGACCCCAATTTACCACTTTGACCTATGTTTTTGAACTGACAGTCACTGAAGGGTATGGGATAAACTAGATTACCTTGTTTAATTGACCCCACAGGATCATTTAACCGACAAAGCTCGTTTCTAAGTGAGTTTTGCATTAGAATGCCACATTTAATCCAGCCATTTTTAGGATTCTATTTATGGTTTCCGAGATTCATTCTTTGTCTGGAAGTTCTACTGATGATTTAACTCCCCTATTTTTGGTATTGCCATAATTCTGTGCATGTTTGTCGTGGAAGGCGGTAAGATTAAACGCCAAGTGCAATTTGAACAGGCTGAGAGGAACATGGGGGTAATTCAAGCCTAAACACTACTGTGTTGTCATCACCCTGGAAAGAAGTCAGTGTAAAAGGGAAGCACTGTTCGGGTGAGAAGTCAGGATAGGTACAGATGCTGCATGCATTGTGAAGACTTAGAAGTACATAGTCTAGTGAACTTCCGATGACTGAACTCCTAGATTAACTATATTGCTTCCTCCAGGATGGCTAAGCGAAGGGCGATTATACGGCATATCCGTATTTTAAGTGTCGCCACATTTATCCGGTGGGCATTAAGGTGTCTCAATAAATAGGAAAAGATAATTGATTAGTTAATACAAGAATGATGTAGTATAGAGACAGAGTTAATCAGACAGCAACTAAAGTAAGATTGAGTTAAAAAGCTAGATGACGTAATATAATTGGCTAAAATGTTACAACTTAGGTCGGGATAGCAACAGAGGTAATTACAGGTAGAGATTAAGTAGAAGTGAAATTGAGTGAATAAGTTGGATGACGTAACATGAAGGACTAGAAACTGAGCGTTGTTCAAGTCAGTAACAGTGGTAGTGAGGTGTAGAAATTGAATCGGGTGGGGGTAGAGAACAAGAAAGTTGAAAATGTAAAATGTTACAATTGAGAAGACAAAATAATACTAATTAAGAGACAGAAGAAAAGATTAGGTAGAATTTACATGTCGGTACATAAGATAGATTACGTCCATTGCAAGTGTAGTGATTGAACGAACTTCTTCTGTATGCAGAGTTCAGGACTTAGCAAGTGAATCGCCATTGCTTCTGCAGTTTGAAGAAGTCTGATTCGTACACCTTTAGGGAGACTATTTCTTACTCTGTAGACGACTTTGAAGTTTGTTTGCGGTGTAGCTTGGTGTCCGGATTCTATCAGATGTTCTATGATGGAACTGCGGGGGCATCGATTTTCTCCTTTGTAAAACCATGTTGGTAAGTGCTCGGTGATACGTTTGGAAAGCGAGCGCTGGGTACGGCCGACATACCTGGCTCCACACGAGCAGGTGAATTGATAAATGCACATTGATGAGGCCAGCAGCGGTAGCTTATCCTTCACGTTCACATGAATCATAGGTTTTGTGGAGAAGGTTAGTCGTAGTTCAGCTGCGAAGAAGGTCTTCTTAAGTGAGCGCGACAGTCGATTTTTTAGTGTTTCCGCAGATAAATCTCCATTGAATTGAAGATTCATGTAGAGTAGTTTTTTCTTGACGCTAAGTATGGGCGGCTTTTCTGGTCTAGGCTTCATAGATTTTGCAATAAATCTTTCTGGATAACAATTCTCGACGAGGATTCTCTTGAGGTTGTCCAGTTCATCTTCTATGGTGTCCGGAGTGCAAATTCTGCGAACACCAAACGAAACCTGATCCGTTCACTCAGCTAATGTTGTCTAATATACATAAGTTTACAAATAAAAATTCAAATATAAACCAATCATGGTGTTTTCTCTTTAGGATAATAAGATGGTGAAAATAAATTGTGCAATGAGTCATAATAGTAGTAATGATAATAATAATAGTAATAATAAAAATGGTCTTATCAATAATAAGGATGAAAATTGATGCAATCTGTGATAACACGAATAATGAAAAACAGCATGATTAAGCAAACAGCTGTTCAGGTGGAAGTAGTCGATAAAGGCTAGTAAAAACAAATGAACCGATTAAGTATTGTTAGATTGTAAGGGAAAGAAATGAAAACGTTATGAAGATAAGACTAAGGGATGATAAGAAAGGGGTTGAAAATATAATCAAGGGGTGGTGTAGAAGTCATTAGTTGGTTATATCTTAATAGGCCAAGGGAGGGATAATGGCTGTATGAACTTTTTTTGAATACATAGTTTAGGTTTAAAAGTTCGAATGCCTATTGCCTCAGCTGTGTGTAGTAGACGAATACGAAGTCTATTTGAAAGATTCGGTGGGATACGATGAATTACTTTGAAGGCTCTCGTTTTCTCCACTACATGACCACTATCAATTAAATGTGACAAAATTGAGCTACGGATTGTTTTTGTCTGTCCTTTGCCAAACCACGATGGGAGGTGTTCACTAACACGTTGGCTAAGCTGTCTAGTAGTACGCCCAACATAACTGTCACCGCAGGTGCAGCTGAATTGATAAATGCACATAGATGTGGCAAAACTAACAAGCTTATCCTTCGTTCACGTCCCAATCATTCATCGGCTAGAGAATGACAAACATAGGTGTGCTGCATAAAATGTTCTTCGTATACTCCTTGACAGTCTTTGGAATAAAATCTTGCTTGATAAGTCACCATTAAATTGTAACTTAATAAATAGAGGTTTCTTACGTGCAGTCAGAGTCTCCGGCTTTTTCTCCGATGTTTTCATATCTTCCTTAATGAAACTACCCAGATAGCCCATCTCCGTGAAGGAATCGTGAATATATTCAAATTCCTTTTGTAAGAGGTCATCCGTACATATCTTTCTTGCTCTGCTCGCAAGACATTTAACAACATTCCTTTTATATTTAATGGGCACGTAACTGAGGAAGTGTGTGTATTGTCCTGTGAATCTGCTTTTTCTATACACGCTTTTCCCAAGTGACCAATCTTCTCTCCTATTCAGCAAGACATCCAGGAAATGTGGTTTATTCTCCTACTGCTCTTCACAAGTCAAGGTAAGTGAAGGGTACATGTTGTTGAATTTCTATGTTAACATTCCCATCAGCTAAGATAAATGTACCATCGACATATTGGTAGTACATATCAAACTGCTTGATGATGTTCTTCAATTTCCCGTTTTCAAGTTTTGCGAGAAAGAAGTCAGCTAATATTGGGCCTAATGGTAAACACATAGCTATTGCATCTTCTTGTCGATAGTATGAATTACTGAAGACAAAGTGAACATTCATTGTACATTTAAGAAGTAATTCTTTGAGGCTACACAAGGGGATTCCTAAGTCTAATTGCCTTTCGGTGATTTCTTGACAAATATAATCTACTGTTTCCATAAGCGGTACATTAGTGAATAGTGATGATACATCCATGGATAGCATGCGTTTATACCTCACATCAGTCTCGGATATTTTAGAAATAAAGTCGAAGACATCACTAATTCTATTTTGCACGATTTCTCTGTGCAAAGGACCCAGAATCTTCACTAACCACTTCGCTGTTCCGTGAAATGGAGAGTTATACATATCTAAAACAGGGCGAAGAGGAAGACCTGATTTGTGCACTTTGGGTAGACCGTAAAGACGTGGAGTATTTGTACCCGTTGGCTTCATGGACTCATACGTGGCTGATGATAACACTCCTATTTTGTTCAGTTTTTTGAGAGAGACGATCATCAGTTTCTCCGCCCTTACATTGAGGTCTTTGGAAACACCAAGGGATTGGAATTTAATCTGATCACTCAAAATACCTTCCATTTTCTCAACATAATCGCTTTTGTTCAGTAAAACTATACCGTCACCTTTATCTGGCTTGCTAATAATTAAGCTTTTGTTACTTCTAAGTTCTCTTAGAGCTTCTCTTGTATTGCTTAGATAACAGACTATTTACTGAATGTCTATTATTCTATTCATTTTTATGTTTTTAATAAGTGTGTTTCTTCTCCTTTGGTTACTTACCTATTACCTATTCCCTGTTTATCGATCGAGAAAAGTCTATGACGATTTGATGACATCAAGTTTCTCTTGTCAATGTACAGTTTTAGCAGTGTACTTCCATTCCTGTGTGTGTTAATACATATATATAAAGAAGGCGGTCATTTTATTTCCAATTTCAGAGAACTTTATTCCTATTGGATACATATGTATTTGTGTGTCAGTAGCTCAATGTTTGCATAAACACAATAGCTGTTCTTTTGTATGATATATTGAATTAATTGGTTGTATTTTTTAGTTGTATAAACAGAAAAAAGACAACTGTATTTCAATGGATTTATTGTGTTTTGTAAAAGGAGAACACAATTTTCATCCACTTAGCATTACGAACGAAACATCATTCTCTGGATTGTTTGCACTGGAGGATTGATTACATTACGTAATCGCGTGGTAAATTTGAATAAGTTTACCGTCCGTCAGTCAGTCAGTCAAGTCAATCAGAGTCTTAAATGTACTTTTAAGGAATAATGCAATACAAGTGATCAACCCCCTTTTTTATATTATTATTGCATATGTCTGCTGTATTTCTTCTCTTGCAAACGAAGACTGACTCTATCGATATCACATTACTGGGCTGAGATTCTACACTGCAGACAATTATGAATATACGACGAGGACTGTAGTAGGTAGTAAAATCTACTTCAACACTGTGTGTCAGTTCGTATCATACAGATAAATTTCAGAAATGGATTTTCACCTGTAAGACGCTTTTCAACTCAAGTTATCTAATTGATAAATATACCAATATTACTACTGCTACTACTACTACTAATATTAATAATAGTAGTATGATAACGATGAATGTTTCGTACATTTTCGCCGAGACAGATTCTGAAGCACTGAACAGTCATCATCATCAACATCATCAGGTAACTCTACCATCACCCATAAAAATCACCTTGAAGATTAATTCAAAACTAATCGACTTTGAGCTGGACACAGGTAGCCCAGTGTCAATATGCAGTGGACAGTATTGGTTCAAAGTGTTTGGGTATAGTGCATACAAAGATTTAGAAGAGGTGAACGTCAAGCTAAAATCGTATACAGGCGATTCTCTGTGTATATTAGGATTGAAAAATGTTATCTTCGAATATAAAAATCATAATATCCTATTACCAATCTACATAGCTAAAGGCAATGGACCAAGTCTACTCGGTCGTGATTGGTTGTTAAAGGTGGCAAATTTACAGCATAATTCTATGCACAGTTCAACAATTCTTGTTGATCATATATTAACCCAATACAGTCAAGTATTTCATGATGATGATAATGATGGTGATGATGGTGATGATTATCGTGTGAATGGGATAAATGCCATCAGAGTTTCCCTGCCTGTCGCTGAGAATGCTATTCCAAAGTATTGTAAAGCCAGTGTATTGAAGAACACCTTTAAGCGTAAAGTAGAACTGGAGTTAAACCGACTAGAGTCTGAGGGGATTATTGAGCCTGTGAAATCATCATCATCACTCTGGGCTACACCGATTATTCCAATTCTCAAGTTCGACAACACTGTCCGCATATACGGTGACTACAAAATTACACTGAATAATTGTTTCACAACAGAGAAAGCCTATACCATACCAAGAATTGAAGACGTCTATCGGCGTTTGTGTGGTAGAAATACTACTTGTAAGTATTTTTCCAAGTTAAATATTACTTCTTTATACCAAGAATTACAATTGGATGATAAATCAAAGTGTTATACAACAATTATAACGCATAAAGGCTTATACCAGTACAATTTTATCCCGTATGGAATTAACTGTCTCGTTCACATATTCTATGAAATATTCCCTCCAATGCTGAAAGGCATACCGAATACAGTAGCCTATGCAGATGATATTCTAATTGGCAGTGAAACAGTCAACGAACACTTGACCACTTTAAGCTTAGTTTTATCAAAATTTCAAGAGACCGGTCTAAGGCTGAAAAAAGAGAAATGCATCTTTCTAACAGATCATTTAGATTACATTGGTTATCGATTAGACGGAAATGGTGTACACATGTTAACTGAACGTATCCTACCGATATTACATCTACCTGATCCGTGTACTCCCTACGAGTTGAAATCATTTCTCACCTTATTCAATTATTATGCTGAACGCAAAAAAGATAAACTATTGAATATTGAATGTTTAATTGAACCTCTTAATGAATTACTGATAAAAAATGTTGAATGGAAATGGGATAAACTAGAGGCTGATTGTTATCAAAAGTTGAAAGAGATTCTAATCAGCCCAAATGTGCTAAGTGAATTCGATCCGGGAAAAGCGATAATTCTTTTGTGTAATGCTTCAGCCCACGGGATTGGTGCAATACTCACTCAAAAGGAGAATCATGTAGAAAACGATGCAATCATCATGAATCCTGTTGCTTTTGCATCAAGATTTCTAACACTGAATGAACGTAATTACCCACAGACTGAAAAAGAAGCCTTATCGATTGTGTATGCAGTGACACAGTTTAACCAGTATCTATTTGGTCAACATTTTGAAATATGTACAACACATGAACCATTGTTAGAGTTATTTAGTGAATCAAGAGGTATACAGCAGTCGAACACAACATCCGCCAGAATCCAACGTTGGGCAATTCTACTGTCAACATATAACTATAAATTAAGTTGTATTGGAATTAAGGATAATTTAACTGCACAGGTTTTAAGCCGTTTACCCATTGAAGATAATAATGATGAGAAAATCTTAGAACCGTCGGAAACAGTGTCACTCATCCAGTGGATAAACTCTTTTGAAATGATAATTGGAAAACTGCATAGACAAACTGAATTAGACAGTACACTGTCACAAGTGAAAATATACACGATGAAAGGTTGGCCTAAATATGTTGATGCGAAATACAAACCTTACCAACAAAGAAAACAAGAAATCACTATGAAAAATGGCTGTTTATTATACGGCACACGAATTATTATCCCAACCGCATGTCGTAAAGTAATCCTTGATAAGCTGCACGCGTTGCATACTAAAACTACAGATATGAAGGAATCAGCTATCAGTTATGTTTGGTGGCCTGAAATCGATGATGACATCGATAGGATTGTTCAACAGTGTGATATCTGCAGGCAAAACAAATCATCTTCTGTTGCCTCTGACAGATTGCATTCACCTATAGAGAAGAAGTCGGCTGGTAGTAGTGTACAACAGAATTTGTGGACAAAATTACATATCGGTTATTTTGGACCTGTTCACGGGTATATGTTATTAGTTGTCATAGATACGTGCACAAAATGGATTGAAATAAAGCCGGCTAGGAAGGCGACCAGTGAAAACACCATAAAATCTCTTTATTCTATATTCACAAGTCATGGTGTACCTGAATATATACTATCCGATGATAGTCCAGTATTCTTGTGTGAAGAATTCCAACTGTTTCTACATCAAAATAATATAATTCATATTTTAACGGACAAGCACAATCCATCATCAAATGAACTGGCTAACATTGCAGTAGAAATTGTAAAACGCGGTTATCAAAAGGCGGCGAAACTAGCCGACTTTCACAGACAGCTAGAGAAATTTGTATTCTCAAGTCATATTACACCACAAAAGGGTGAGAAATTATCACCAGCTGAATTATTGATGGGAAGAAGACTTCGAACGTCCATAGCCTTCCTCCTTCAGACAGATTCAGAGAACACAGAAGACCTATCATCATAGACGTGATTTTGTTGTAATATATTATCAAAATTAATTTTTACATCACACACACATCAGTAGAATTTAACTTACTAACCATCATCATCATCATCATGTCACCGCCATGAATTAGTTTTGTTTAATTTAGGGTGAGTTCATCAAAATGGCGTGTTTATCTGAAAGAATTCAGTTTATCCTTATTTTGTTTTTGTTTTATTTTTTTATTGTCCCAATTTTACGCAGTCCCTCCCTCACACTGTTGGATAAAATTCACAGAAAGTGACATGTTCAGTCTGCTGACACTTATTAATAGAAGAGCTAACTCCTCAGTACCAAAAGTGAACAGTATCAATCAGAGAGAGACATTATCCCTGAAGTATTCAGGCTAAATATTGTCTTTTTGCCTAAATAATATTTCAAAATAAAAATTTGTAAATTACGGTTTTCATTGTTTTTTTTTATAAACAAATGATGCAAGAGAACAAACAGGTCATGAAGTCACGGAAGTCCAGAATAACAATGAATCATAGACTTTTCAGTGTGTTCGAAGAATGTGTCTTTCGCATTACTTATCATTACAAATATCATAGCTAACTCTAGATGACAGGCAAACAGCTGCATGTATTCTGACCGGTTAAACAGTTATAATATGATTAATATCCGGTAGACAAGAAACCTTTGTATCTTAAGTCAAGTTACAAAGGGGAAATTGCAGCTGACATTCTAAAATGTCGACTTAATAGAACAGTAGATAGAACATTTCCTGCAGCTAAACTGGTACTCAACTTCTCAACTAAACCAGTACTCACACAGCAAGTCAAGGATAAATTACCAAAGATGGCCTCATCAAATGTGCATCTATGAATTCAACTGCTCATGTGGAGCTAGTTACATTGGCCGTACTCAGAGGGCTTTATCCATGCGCGCACGTGAACATGTACCTGTATGGTTGAGTAAAGGGGTAACCAAATGCATAAATAGTGCAGTCTTAGCCCACTTGGTAGATACGGGACACCCGATACAACTTGACCAGGCGTTCTCAGTTATTTACCGCGTTCCTAGTAATTTATCTAGAGGAGCTCGACTACGTCTTCTATCAGTAGCTGAAGCAGTGCAATTAATACCAAGACATCTCTTGCATACAGAAGAAGTATGTTCAACCTCTATGTTTACCTTGGCCTACAATAAAGCCAACAAATCCTCCATTAACACTATAAATTCCTTTCACAATTTTCTTTTCTTTTCTTCTTCTTCTATTCCTCTGTTTCATTGACAAACGTTCATTTTCGACTTTTATGATTTCATGACCTTTCTTATGACTTTATTACCTTAGGTTTAAGTAGTGCTTTTCTAACTTGCTATCATATTTACAAAATCCTGTTCATTCCACTTCATTATTATTATTATTTGAAAATCATTCACTTATAGTGCTTGTAATTTTACACCATATCATCGTTATTATTGTACAATCATTCTTAATGTCGTTATTTTCAACCTTGAACTTATGTCTAGACTGCCCCATTCGTTGGTTTATTTTCATATTGTAATGAACGCTGAATTCCATACCTGTACCACAAATACTGTTGAATATTAATATTGTCTCACACACCCTGATTACACACACTCTCCAAACCTGTATTTTCTGTTGACTATATTTATATATACACACACATCATTAAATTAAATTACTTCATCTCATTTTGTCCCATGTTCTCATTGACCATGCATATTAAAAAACTATCTGACTATTGTTCCATCCCATCTTATACTTGTTCCACAATACACTTTCTGATATGATTCTTATTTGCCTTTACTGGCTGGCTGGCTATTGTATGCTTAAATTAATGGATTTATAATTGTAGAGCCTGAAGAAGAATTTATTGAAAACAATTGTTCGCTCTAACTATTTTGTTTAATATCCTCTTAGTTTTATCCATACTGCCATCACTAGATGAAAAAAATCTGTCAGACAGATCTGTAAACATAATGCCTAAAACATACAAGATTTGATGATATTAGATAGTTGGAGGCAATCGGTAGGAAGCCTTCGAACTAGGTTTCGTGCTAGTTGACACTCACCAGTCAGCAAGGCGCATCTGTAACCATGACTTCCTTCAAGTTTTATGCAGCCGGTTCCCTTTATTAGCTTGAATAAAGAAACAACGAACATATATTTGCAGGACAATACGAACTCGTTTCATTTCCGTGGATTCTCCTCAACTGCGTACATCTTAAATAACTCAATTATATGTTACAAAATTTCTCAACATACTTTTTACAATGATTTCAAGTTATCCATAGAATAGAAAGTATAAGCAACATAATTTCGAAGATGATGTAAATAGACGATTATTTAGTGTTGAAAGAGTAACTATTTATATTGTAACTAGACAAAGGTGTAAAGTTCTGATTTATCTTAGAAACAAGGATGGACTGGCGACAACTTACAAGATAGGGCAACAGACTTAGTTTATACATATTATGGTGGAGAATTCAGAAGGGTGAGGGTGAATAGTGACGTAAAATTATAAACAAGATCGAATAATTTAATTTAGCAGATTTGAAACCTCAATAGTAAGTTCAACTGAGCCAGTGAAAATCACAATCAAGATTGTGTGAAATGTTACGTAACAGAAGAAAACACAAAAGCACATGGACAAACCAATTACGGTTACCAGGGTAGTGAGAGATTAGTCACACTCTCTTTCTTTATGCGTAGGTTGAGTCAAAGTCTTTTGATAGCAATGGCTTTTAAGAACCAAAGTAACCATGCTTTTATTAGTATATTGACTACTTTGAAAGCCTGACTAATTTCCACTGAATGTCCCATGTCACTTAGGTGTCTGGAGATTGCGCTTGAGGATACTTTGCTGCCTTGAAAACGGAGACTTTTGGGGATATGCTCGGCGAATCTAGTACACGCTCTTCTATCAGTCCTTCCTGTGTACTTGCTGCCTCAAGTGCACGTGAATTGGTCAATACAGTTTTAGGTGACATGGCTGGGTTACTGAACATACCGTTTTGTAAAGTGGAATGAGTTTAGCGGCGGGAAGTGTTGTTTTTAACGCATCTTTAATTCTGTTTTCCGTTCCTATGGATACTTCTTCGCCTTTGTACGCTAGACATATGAAAACTGGTTTCTTTTCCAATAAATATGTATTTTGTGAGCCGTACTTGTAATCATTTTTCATCACTTGAGTTATTCAGCTAGCAACATTTTTTCCAATACTAATTCTAACTACTCATCGCTATTGGTTATTTTCACACTTTTCTCTGTAATTTTCATAAATTTTCGTAATGTTAGCAACTTCCTTTGTTTTAACTCAGTCTGGCGTATTACTTCCATGTTACGCCAGTTTTCCTCGCATTTATTCCGCCCAAGCTTTTGTAATACCCTCATGCCAATTTTGAAATCATAACCTCTTCTCCTATTCTTTTTTCTGTTTCTTTTACCTTGTTCCTTCTAATACGCTGGTATATTTGTTGTCTTTAGTATCGATTGCTAGTTGCTGTCGAAGCGGAGGAGTGGACTCAACTTAGAGTTAATGAGTCGTCTTTCCGCTATGACAGCCTGGGCAACGGAGGTATACCATCAGACCTCCACTAACCATGTACATAGTGCCTCTCAATTGCCTTAACCTTTTTTCTTTCCTTTCACAATTTTTTTTTACTATCTTCAATCTTCCTTGTTCATTCAATGTTATTGTACAAAGCCCTCCTCTCAGTTCACTACTTTCATGTACCGAAGCTTGCCTGTTTCCCACCAACCCTCTAAGGGGGAGGGAGGATAACCTTTAGTGTACCTTGAATCTTTGCACTTTTGTTTCAACACATCCACCCACTTTTGGCACTACTTCATCTTTGGATTTGTGACGCGACTGTACGTACTCGGTTCTCTCCCTTGTTGTGCTTCCATTCAGCGCACTCTTCGAACTTCCTACCCAGCAAAGGCATCAGATAAATTGTAATAACAACTTTATTTATTAAATTTGATATTTCATTTGTGTAAAAATACAACTTCGTCCCAGACACACTTTCGGTCTCAAGTCTTTTTACTCTGATTCTTTCGTTCGTCAGTACTTACACGCTAGGTAGAGTGTAATGCTAAGGTTATAAAGCGGTGAAGTTCTTAATAAGTGTGGTTATTTGAGGCCTATCTTAAGTTTAACCTCACTACTTACAAGCTCGTTAACTTGTGTGGATTTTCAGGTCATTTGATCCAATCGCCGATTACTTTTAGCTCTTTTTTATTTTTGTTTAATTTCAAACAAAATGAGAAGACAGTACCACAACAAAAAAATGAATTTCTCTGTTTGCAATAATAACTACAGTAACACAGTAATCATCCTAGTGACACCATAAATATATCAACAAAGTGATGGATTTACCATAGTAAGAAGGACAAAGAATATGCATATCAAGTGTTGGTTTGTAGATATTTGATTGGTTACAGGATTTTTATCATGAGGTGACATTAGTTAGAGAACCATTGGAAAACCAGGGAGTACTGGACAGCTGTTTCGTCCTAGTTTGGGACTCTTCAGCAGTACGCAGTGGCTTAATGGTACACGAGCTTGCCTTGTAACCAGTAGGTCCTGGGTTCGAATCCCGGTGGGTGCGTACTGATGAAGAGTCCCAAACTAGGACGAAACAGCTGTCCAGTACTCCCAGGTTTTCCAATGGTTCCCTAACTAATGTCAGCTCATGATGAAAATCCAATATGCATATCACTTGACTTTTCATCCAGCTTGATGTTAGAAGTTGAAAACTGAACCAGCACAACCTCCGCCGTAGAATACATCACGATTAACTGGATTAACATTGTTGCACGGTAGGTACACTGTTTGCGTCCTCCAAACTGTAATTGTTTCTTTTACAACAGCTAAACCGTACACTTCGAGTAGTTAAATTCGGAAGTAAAATAAAAGCCCTCTTGAAAATGACTTCCTATTCTGTAAGAATTGATAACAAAAAAAACATGAAAATAAGATAGATATGTTTGAAGCAGATAGTAAACAGTTCACAGTAGTAATTGTCTGTCTGATGGTGATTATCAGGCAACACAAAGATTATTTTGAATAAATCCATGACTAGGCAAATAACGAGTGACAGACA